AACACAGATATTGAGTTAACTATAATATATATAATTCTCTCAGATGAGACTGCGGAGTGGGATTTCCCTGGTCGTAGGGGGTTTGGGTGGGCATTTCCTATGTCTTTTCACTAGTGTGTTAGAGTTAGATTGGGTTGTGGGTTGTAAGAATAGGCGTGGGTGTATACTCATTTCTAGGGTGGATTCTTCTGCTTTCTGCTTTCTTTTTTCTTTCGTTCTGGATACGGTTGTTTATTCATCGTACACACCATGGTGGCTACCGGTAATACATGCTGCCGTCTTTTTCTTATTTGTCCGTTTGTTTGTTCGTTTTGTTAATTGCGTTTGGGATGGGCTGGGACATTGATATGGCATAGCTATTACTCAGGTGTGCGTTCTCTTTTTTTTCAAGTTAGGATAAGAGCGATGGTATGGGTACAAGGGGGTTTATTAGTAGAGCATTGTAGAAGTGTAGAATGAGAGAATTGAGTTATGAATCTTTTGTCTGTCAGGTCTTTTCGGTGATTCATCTGGGTGAATGGAGGGTAGGGACGGGGGTGATGACGCGTGTGAGGGGGAGGGGGAGGGCGAGAGTTTAACGGAGGAGATGCAGATAGTGTCGGATCACAGATATCAACGATATCTCAGCCATGCGATCGGCTGCACTGATCTCGGTCACGCGAGCAGGCGCACTGGCATCAGTCACGCGGACAGGCGCACTGATCGCGGCGTCCGAGCAGCGCTCAGACCAGACCTCCTATATCTAGCTCTTCCATAGTTAAGACAATCAATCAGAACCATCACCGAACAGAATGAATTCCTAGTCATCGTTATTTTCCTTTCAGCACTAGTGCTACAGCTCTACCAACAGATAGGGCTATCATGTTGAGAATCTCATACTACCTAACTTATACACCTCTCCATGCGCAGTGTAGTAAATACCCCTTTGTAAGCCTGCGTGGTTCCGTGCGAGCTAGTGATGACGGTATAGATAAAATAAGAGTGAAAAAGCTCCGCAGTTACTCTCTTCACAATTATGCAATTGATGGTTCTTCATTCTTCCCCCTGTAGTCTAGCGCTTACCTACAGGATCTACAGGATGGGTACTTTATCTTTGTTATTCATCACACTTAGTTTTCCAAAGTCAATTACTGTAAGTTACTCAAGCGAATGAAAAAAAATAGCACAAGTTAGTATGGGGATGAATACGGCTTGGTGGCAAAGTTTGTAGATTTTATCGTATTTCTCTCTAGAATCTCATACCACGGCCGAAATACCCAGCTGAGCGTGTGAACATCAGCAATCCGTGCTATCATGCATTGAATTGCATTTCAAATCCATGCTGCCGCCGGTTTTTGCGCCAATGTTGTCGCGCCAGACAAGTAGCGTTTAGGCGTCGCTCGAGTCATCGTCGGCAGCAGCCTCAGCAACGGTCAAGGCAATGCGATCGAGATCGCGCTGACCCTGAGCCGTAATGCGACGACCGCCAGTATTATCATCCAGCTCCAGAATCTGCAGCTTGGCGAGCGCCTGAATGGCCTTGCGGTCGACGCTGCCGCTACCGTTGTAGTGATGGGAAGGGCGCATTCCGCGGTTCTTGCCCGTGCCGTGAACTTTTCGGAGGCGACTGACGCCGACTACATGTTGTTAGTCTGGGATGAATGAAGCGCCGGGAGGGTGGTGCATCATTTACCAGTCTTCCTCAGGTAAGAGGTGGCGGGCAACAGCCGCGCAGCGAACGTAGAACCAATCCTGATCCGAGGGCGGAAGTTCCTTTGCATGACCCGTCTTAACTGTATCGACCCAGCCTTTGCAGCAAAAAACGTTAATACCTTTCTCTCTCATCGCATGCTGCATCGCGTGTGTAGATGAATTTTCTCATTCTTGCTCAAAACATACCCGGAACAGGCAATTTGCCTTGGCGCTTCAGAAACTGAGCATACGCTTGTATGAACAGCTGCGCCTACAAAATCGACCCCCTTTCAGCAAAGATTTCCGTCATCAGAGCCTTTTCAGGCCCCTCACACTTGCACACTTACGTCGACGTCGCGGACTCCAGTCATCGTGATGGTCCTGGTCTGTGTAGTCCTGTTATCAGCAAATTGCCCGTTATCGCAGCTCGCGCGCGGACTTACATTGGCGTTGAAAGCTGAGTATGGTCTAGAATTAGGACTGTCTGGACAGTGGTGAAGCACAAGAAACGTGAGTGAGAGAAGAGCCGAGCGTGTGTACGCGGTAATTTTTGATAGGTCGAGCTGTGCACCTACGTGACATATTGTGGTTTTCGAAATACCTTGAGCCGCCTGGATCTGGTTAGCTTGGTGCCCAAGAACATCAACTCCCATAGTAATTTGTTAGTAAATTAATGCAGCAGCCGTTTCCCACCTCCAGAAGCCCATGAAGCTAGTCCTGTACTCTAAATCGTTCGTGTATAGCGTTTTGTTTGTGTGGAGCTTGTTGCGAGCTCAATCTAGCTGCTGTTGGGATGCCGCCCAAGCGCCAGCGTAAGCCGAAGCAGCCATTCGATCAAGGCGTTAACCCGTCCTCCCAGAAGCGTAGAGCGCCAGCAACTAGACAAAATCCTACCCATTTAACGCCTAAACGTGTCCGCCGTGAGGCGCTGCCGTCGCCTCCAGCGACTGCCCCGCCGCGCCGTCAAAGCCCGTTGTCCGAGCCTGAGCTGCAAGCCACCCAAACAGCTGCCTCCGCGCAAGCTGAAGATATCGTTGGCGAGGATGAGGATACTTTCGAGGATGGAGATGGCGATCCGCTGCCTGAGGATGAGGATGAGATCGCTGCTAAGGGCGCTGCCGGTAGTGTTGAGGATGAGGGAGAGCCAGCGTACCGACGTCAAGAAGGCACTCCATGGCTGCCTCGCTCATCGCAAGCGCTAGAGGATGAGGTTAATCCTGTACTGCGCGTTAGGTGGAGGGCTTGCCTTGGTGGTGATATGGAGAAACACTTTATTCCTGAAGCTGCCGATAGCGAGCACGGCGTACGGCTGTACTCGCTGCATTTCGACGACCTATGGCAGTGGGTAGATGACGTTGTTGCAGAATTACGGCCAAAAAGAGCGAAGATCTCATCTGTTTGCACTGTTGTTTACCCAGCTAAGCAGGCCAAACGCGAGCGCGCGATAAAGCGATTGCGGCGAGGTGTTGATGCAACGTGGAATAGCTTTCAGCGCCTTGTTGTAGAGGTTGATAACTATGTCAGCGAGCCAGTAAACGTCGATTTCGAGCTCATCTTGGCTGAAATTCCAGGGGAGCAGCAGCCGTTGCCAACGGTTGTCGACGGTCCTCGTCGACGCACCGCAACGGTGATTCAAGAGGAGGGGCTTGCTGGTGTAATAGCAGCTGAACAAGCAGGTAGCGGGCATGCTATTGCTATCCGGGATAGATGGCGCTGTACAGATACCCATTGCGAGAACTATCCTTATTGCTGCTGGATGGCGCCAACAGCGAGGCAGCCAGCGCGCTTCGAAGATCACCTCTTTGTCAACGGCAACATTATCTCCATGTGGGCAAGAGCAATTACAGCGAGAAGGGCAACGTACGATGAGCCATCTGATGATGTACGGCTTGCAATTTTGAGAGCAAAGGACCTGCGGGTGCATGAGAAAACGCGCAAGTTGCGGGCGGCTGGAGATGGCGACGATGATATCAAAAGCTTAACAAAACTGCTCATCGTTGGACAGCTTGAGCGGATGAACAGGCAACCTCAACAGGAGTCTAACTTGCAGGCAGCTGCACCAACGATAACAAGAGCTGAGGTATCTAGTGCATCTCAGTGGGCGCCTATCCGATATGATCATGAGCAGGAGATTAACGAGCATACTAGTAATTTCTTTAACTACCTTAAGTTAAAATTTCCTACAGTTGGAGAGGACATTAACGAGCTTTATAAGACTCTTGTTATTGACGGAGCTATGGATATCAACCTCTTGATGCAGCCATCTGGTGATATCTTGAAGTTGTGGACGCAGCATTTCAAGCAGCCTCCTGGCTGGTTTTTCACGCTACAAAACACTGCAAAAGAATGGCAAGCTGGGTACCAGGGTCTCACAGATCGTAACTGGAGACGAGTCGAACGTTGTAAGAAAAGAGAAGAGATTGCGCGCAAGAAATTGGTGGTTGAACCGTCTAGCAGTGTTGTGGAGGATGATGGCGAGAATGCTTGAAGCTTAGTGGCCTGAGCGTTTTTGGTGACAGCGGCCCGTGCCCGCTATAGTGTTGAGGTTTTTCAGGCGTTTCAAATGCGCTGCAACAATAGTCTATTTGGATAGCCCTATGTACAACACTACAACGTTATGCGATTATAACAGGTTAACTTCCTAAGATAGTTCTATATGTATAGAAATAGCTCTTATTTTTTTAGAATTATTAAATCGCTTTTGTGGGTTGCGCATTAAGGTGTAATCGTTCGCATTTGTATGGTATCATCTACCTATAGAAACGTACTGTGGCATCCATTTAAAAGCACAATTAATAGGGATAGCCACACCTATGGAACCAGCTTCTGCAGTTAATATTACAGCACACCAGCTGCGCTGCATACTCAAGAAAGACCCCAAAGTCAATGAAGTTCTCCGCTTGCGCTGAATTCCTTTTCATCCACCCCTTGAGCTGCTTAAAGCTCTTCTCGATGGGGTTGAAATCTGGTGAGTATGGCGGCAGATACTCAAGGAGTACTCCAGCACTTTGGCAAAGCACCCGTACACGCTCTGATCGATGGATGGAGGCGTTATCAAGCACGATTACTGAGGCTGGCCCTGGGTGAGGATTGCAGAACGGCAGCACTTGAAACTCTAAGAAGTCTTCTAGGATCTCAGATGTAATCGCGCCTTGAAAGATCTTATAGCTTATGTAGCCATCTATCGTCATGGCTGGCAGCAGCGACCACCGTTCTGATCGCCTGAAGCTGTGTGATAGCTCCACCGGCTCCCCGATTGGAGACCAGCCATACTTGCGGTCGCCCGTACGCTCATTGCAGGCGCTCTCGTCCAACGCAACGATCTGCTCCGCCTTATAGTGTTGCGCCATCCTGGCAAGATAGAGGCGGCGGAGTGGCTCACTCTGCTCCTTTGCCCGCTTTGTTGCAAGCTTGCGAGACCATCTCATCTTCTCTAGCTCTCGGTAAACGCTCGCAAGGCTTATCCTAACGTCGTACTCGTCGTACAAGAAGTCCCTCATCTCATCCATGTATGCGCCCGGTGAGCCATTGAGGTATGCCTGAAGGCCTTCGCGCTGAGCTTGCCGGAGTATAGATGGCCGCCCAAGTCGAACGCAGCGCGGCGGATAAGGCACGCCCCAAAACTCTAAGCTCAACCTCAGCTTTGCTACTGTGTTACGGCTCGCACCTGTAGCTCTAGAGATGGCTCGATCACTTTCGCAGGCAGCAATTCGGTCGAGGATAGCCTGGAGAACAGCGGGCTGCAAGCGGTGGCCGGTGCCTGGCATCGCGATGAGATGGGCTCGAGAAAATTGCAACACCAAAAACGCGAGTCAGTAGAGGCGATCGCAGCAAACAATGAACTTCAAATACGTTGTGGGTGTTAGAAAGCGTGGCTGCATCGATTTACTAACAAATTACTATAGGAGTTGATGTTCTTGGCCACCAAGCCAACCAGATCCAGGTGGCTCAAGGTATTTCGAGAAACACCCATAACAAACTCAACACCCCCAAATCTTTACAGTACTATACACCCACAACAACCTATTTAAAAAAGCTAAAAAATTAAAAGTATAGTTACTCTCCTCTTAATAAAGAGTAAGCTGTTTTAATTTTATAAGATTTTAACAGCGTTATTGTATAGTTATAGGGATAGAGAAAAAGTAGAATATCTAGTTTTTTATGTTACCTAGGTGTGTGTGTTAGTCTCACATATCTGCCAATGAGGAAACGACTGGGCCCACCAACTTCAGACTCCATTAGTATTAGTAAGCTGAATTTGTCGCTTCATGTCGAACTGAAGCCTGAGGGCCCAAACCACGGTACTAGCCAGACGATGCCTTCACCCAAAGCCAGGCCAGCTAGAAAGCATCAGAGACCTGTCTTCGATCAGGAGACGCAATTAACGAAAATCTGTACTGCTATTGCAGCCAAACGTCATGCGAATCCCAAGTGGCAATTGTCGGTGCCGACCAAGCATGCGCAGCCAGACGGCGACACTGTGAGCTATTTCAGCCGCTTATGTACAATCCTGTAACGTGCATCAGTACACGGCTACATATCCCGAAAGGCTTCACTGCTGACGGTGGATGCTGGCGACGAGCCTATCGTCACACATGAACAGACATCAGTCAGCGACAACTGCAGCAAAACCAACGTTTCCCAAGGCAAAGACACTACGCATATTCGACATGAGGCTTTGGTGCAAGTAGAGCAACAGACGAGACCTGTTGAAAAGCTCTCATCCCTGCAACTGCACCCTTTATATCGCAGTCATACCCGATCTGATAATAACAAAGAGTTGTCTCCGAGCATGCATGAAGAAGAATACGGCTACGATGCAGTTGATGGAACTTAGGGAGATGATAGTGAGCCAGAGGAGGGTGAGATAACGACTGACCATCGAGACCTAACCCACGCCCTTCGAGATATCAACTATGATCAAGGGTGAGTAGGGCAATACGTTTCCTGTTTTTGGACAACATTGTTTGAGTGAGCTTTATGACATATCACAGATTTTCCTCTCTTCCCCGAGCTTTCCTTGTCCATGTAAAGCTATTGAAACACCCTGCCCGACTCACGTGTAAGAATGGTAGCGTTTTGCAGACAGTGCACCTCCCATCTCCGCGTCGCGCAGCCGGTATGAAATCGCGGTCTAATTTCTCAGCACGGCACCATCTCTCGGGGCCCGTGGTCTGCCATGGGCTCTACCGGTCCGTTTTCGACTTTGCCTTTTTCGTTAGATTCTGTTTTGACGTCGCACACGTATCGAGAATGCCTCGTGCATTGACAACGGTTTCTAGCCATTCCTGACACCGCTTTTTTAGGATTTCAGCGTTGGAAGGACTTGCATCTGCGATCACATAATGGGTCGCTGGACTACCAAGCGTCAGAGAGCTCTGCTTGGGCCACTGTCATTACACTTACGGACGTGCTACCACCATGAATTAATTACCGTACGAGCCTCACGTAACCTTCCGAATATCTCCGAGAAAGCAGGCGGGCGATCTTGTACTCCTTCAAGCTGGCATGGCATACATATGTAGGCTGGTGGCTCGTCAGCGCAGACTTGGGAACAATCAAGACACTAGCGGGTTTGTTTCCTAATATAGGGTGGCACGAACCTTGGAGTGATCTGAGACATGCTTAATTAGGAAACAAAACCGCTAGTGTATTGATTGTTCCCAAGTCTGCGTCAGCGTGAGCATAGTTGTTGGCCAAGCCACATGAAAGGGGTCTGCCCCGATTGAAGTTAAATAAGCCTCTCTATCATTCCCGCGTTCTGCTCAAGCCTCGCCACTAAACTTGTTGCGGTTTGTGAGGCAAGGGTATTGCGCATGTCACGTGCGTTGTCCTGGCGCTCCTCCCTCCCCTCCATGAGCACCTTCTCCCCTCACCAGCATCAGAGATACGTCATGTAAATAGACCCTGATTATGGCTACATATAAGGTGGCCATGACAGCACAACAACAACAGAACACAATATACTCTGATGACTGCCTCGCGCGGTTACACTTTAATTGACTGCATTAACTGCAACAAAACTCGTACTTCCGATCAGACAATAAGACAACCCTCGTTCAACTCTTTGACCTATACGATGTTGCTTCAATCGCAGATTGCATTCGTCTTTTGCGCTATTCTGGCAGCTGCTCCAGTTATCCATGCGAAGAGCGTTGTAGCCGATGGTCCTTGCAATTCAGATGAGATTGCCGGTTGTAAAACAAAAGGATATGGGTGTTGGAGGTGGAAGTAGGTACATTCTATTGTCTACACCAATCCGACTAATGCAATTTTAGAAACGCAGGCGTTATATGCATGGATGTTCTTCAGATTTGTCACGATTGCAGTACGGGCTTTGATGGTAGGGTCCTCGAAGCGTACGTTTTTGTTTACATCCCCCGTCTGTAGCTATAATCTCTAACATAAGTAGTAATCGGTTCGGTTATGATTGCGGTTGCGTTAAATAGCCAACCTGCTTTTCCTCAACTACTCGACCCTTTGTATCATCCGACAAGACGATGCGATATTCATCTCGACATCCCATCAAGCATTTGGACAAAATAGCGGCACCGTCAAGTCAGCCACAACTTGGGAATGCGCTCTCTTAGTTCACACTAGCCGTTTAAATATATACTCTTCAAACTATCTATTCTCAGGTTCTGCTCTAGATGTTGTTATGACTGTGTCTGTTGATTTCGAGGATCAAGGGCAGAATTGTAGGCCCACACGTTCAACGCAATGCTCGATGGTGGTATCTTGTACCTCCCAGCTAGTAAGCATAAGCTAGCTGTAAACGCTCATAGCTTGCCGCTGTATGCGTTAATGATCGGAGCAACTAAGCCATACTTGCACCGATATTCGTGGCTTACATTAGTGAAGAAGGTAACCATGTCACAGTATACGCGGCCTAGACTCCTATTGACCTAGACTATCTTGGCTTTGAGTCGGCCAAGGTGTTTAACGTACACCTGTCCGTCTCCTACCTCTCTTTCTCCTCAATCCAAATCAAACACTTTCCCAAATCACAACAACATCTTAGTGTTCCTATCTTGATTATGCTACCACAATCTCTGGGTCTATTTGCGTTTTCCGCTTTCGCGGCAGTTGCGCAAGGCGCAAGTGTTTCACTGGATGCACGCCAGGGACTCAAACTTGCATGGATTAAGGGCGGGTGCAGCACTGTAGAATTGAATTTCTGTAAAACACTAGAGACACAGTGGCCGAAGAAGGGAGTCGTTAATATGGAGTGTTCAGTCTACACGCAAGCATGATCTAACCTCTACATTGAACGTTTTGTTAACCTACAAATAGAGACAAGCCAGCCGGAAGATTGATCGGACCTATATGCGAGGAAATTAGGGATACAGTAGATTGTCTATGTTCGAGTGGTCGCTCCGGTCTTTGGCTTGCGAGGTAAGCATTTTCTTTATACCCAGACGTTTTGTGGCTACAATTACTGACAGAAGTGAAGCAATACAGAGGGTTTCCAGTGCGGCTGTCATCCGTGATTCCGAACAGGGCATGGCTAGAAAGTAAGCTAATGTTTGGTATACGTACGCTGGTGACATTATGTCAGCATGGGCACGGAGGGAAGTGGTCCCTTGATTACACCGAACTATCTTAGCTTTGGAGAAGGGGACGGAGCATTTAAGAAGCCGATTGATTCTCAGTTCAGGCAACGCAACTTGCGAATTCAGTCCACACAAAATCAACATTCTGTTCAGTCTCTCTTCAACTCACACCATGTTGTCCAAATCTCAAGTCCTATCTGCCTTTGTCGCTTTCACGGCAATTGCGCAAGCTATGAATGTGCCGCTGGATTCGCGCGACACCCCGGGGATTGCCTAGAACGTGCGCAATTGCTCGCCCGAGGAAGTCACTTTCTGCAAAACCTATGCCACAAGTAGGGGAATCGGCTTTAAGAGTTGTCAAATTCTTTCGTAAGTACAATCCGACGTCTACATATACCTCGCTAACTCGCATTTAGACCGTCATACAATTATCCAGGTCCTCAGAACCCTGTATGTCTTTCATCGAACAGTTGTACAAATAACTGTCCGGTTCAAAGGGGCTATAATGTTGAGGGTTATGTCCCTATGCCGTAAGCGTTTCTCTATATGTAGAACCTGTAGGTACGACTACTAACGAACCTAGGAATACACCTGGCTACACCTGCGCTTGCGGTTATGCTGGTGAATTCGGTGGAATCTAGTTGGATAAGGCGACTCGAGTTCATAGCGGCATTCGACGGAGCAGTTGGATTTGATCGTGTCGAGATTGGACCAGCATCACCATCGGATACTCTACACCAACCATTCTCTTCTCCATACAATCAATCAACATGGATACAGGACATTGTCTAGACAGTGGCATCGTGTTTCTCGTGATGGACTCTATTAAACTATGGAACAACCGGTCGACGACACGCATGCGATGCGTGGGTGTTTCGCAGCACCTGTCTCGCGTCTCCCAAGGGGCGGAAGCACCGGGCGCAAATCATCTGAACACGCGAAGAGATCTGCCGTGAGTGTGCCTGGCGTAAGCGCCAAGATGCGAGATTCTCGTGTCTGAACATGGGTGCAAGTATTGGATCGTGTTGGTCAAGTTACGCGAGCGATTCGCGGTTGAGTTGCTGATCCGTAAGCACCGAGCTCATCCCACCGCAAAAGACGGTGACGTCCAGCTGGAAGCAACTGTGGCGGCGGGCCGATATTGCCTAGCGAGATGGGGGACGATGTGCACGCAGAGCTAGTCAGAATGCTATACGAAGCCTACCAATGGAAAGGCTATGAATAGAATGTAAAGCTAGAGCCCGTCAACTACATATCAATGACGCTATTAACGCAGGTACACCAGTTGTTAGATATACAAGATAGAGCGCGTCGTGCCAAGAGAGGCTTAACTGTTCACCAAGGCGCCAGTTCTCACAAATTCCTTTAAACAAACCACTAGTAACAGACGGGCGGCGATCAAGCCCTCTAACATATGCATATCACTGTACAGTAGAAAGAATTCTCAAAAACCGCTTCGTCTTGTGGAATGTCACCCAGCGCATCGGTCCAGCCGAAATCTCGGATTGTAGCGTTTTATCCGGGTTTCGTCGAGCATCGCTAGGAATATAGTTGTGGCATGCGCACATTCTGTATACTCTATTACATGCAATCTTCCTATTGAATACGTACTTGAAAAAAAATACAACAAGTCAGTATGCAGTCGCATTCTTCTATGTAACATGTTAGTTGCAGCCGTTGCGATAGGTTGATGATGAAGGTGGAGAAACGTGCGTGAACTTGTTGTATTGGAGCTACGGGAGAAGGGAGAATATCTGTGGTGCGCGCACGGAGCAGCTGACTAATCAGTGCCTGGCCAATCAGAGCACGGGAAGCCTGATTCACCGTGAATACTAGTGAAGGCTCTCACCGCGTCTCGACAGTTGAACATGTGGCAAGCCAACAGCGATTCAGAGCCATCGAGCACTCTCATATCGTCCAGATAAATCAGTGTCGCGATCACCAACTATTACGCAAGAAAAGACATGGTTTCGGCATTGGCTAATCGTGTCCGAGAAGTATCCTTGTTAGCTTCTGTTGTCAACAGATTCCTGCAGAGTATCTTCCAAAGGTGTCGCGCTTCCCCGCATTAAACTTCTAGAAGTCCATCAACGGCCCCTTAGACAAGGGTCAAGGGTGCATTGTGAAGGCTAAGCCGAGTTGCGAAATTCTACATCTCTGGGTTCTATCCAGCACGAAGCCCTGTGCACTGGAGCCGCAGTCTTTCGAGATCTCTTATGTGCTTCCTAGCTGATAAAAGCATCTTGGGGCCCTTGTAATTAGAGTGCAGTACCAACATGTACAACTGCCTCGCCGGCATACCTTGGTGGATCAATATTGTAGAGTGTCGTTTTGATCTTGCATCTCAATTATTCCCGAGTGATGCCGCATTAGACCCTTCCAGACCTCTGACACGAATAGTGCACTTGGTTAACGATGCACCTTAACCCGCACGATTGGGTGAACTACTCATTGCTATACAGCCTATCTCACGTCATCGCTAGGATTGGCATTTGATAATCACCGCAACATGCTTAGAGCATCTTACTACCGACAATTATAATAAGCACCAAGAAGACAGAGTTTATCTGCAGATCTGAGAAGCGAGCATGCCTTGCTGCTAATGGTTGATTGTAGACTAACTTTACGAACTTTACGACATGACTTCCACCTTGAACCATCTTACTTTACGTACCTGCAGCCCAGGTAATGCATAATAACTATGTGTCAGAATATGGGCATATTTTGGGTGGTCGGAGCTGTGGATTCTGTGGATCAGTTAAATTAGTCAGCGCGCACAATCCACCGCGACCCAACTGATCGAACAGCGTTGGACAACAGAACAACACGACATCAGACCAGAACAATACAATCGATCCCCATCATATTATTATACTATTATCCCCGTCTTTGATAACCCATCACAATCTGACACTATGCCACATTCTTGACCATAAATATGAGCGGAACAGCCTTCTATAGCACCAAGCAACCAAACAGTCCTTTACAGATTACCTCTTTTCTAATATGAAGAATATTTTCGTTATCGCTACTATCCTGCTTATTCCTGCGGTTTTCGCTGCGCGAGTGAACCCTACTGTAATCCTGGACTTACCGAGCTGCCCGAGGCAATGCCCGCTTTCCTGATGCAACACCAAAACTTCAACACGCGATAACTATCAATATGAGCTCAATCGAGGCTGCGCTTGCAGCTATAGAATCGCTAAAGCCTGGAGAAATGCTTATATATACTCAAATTGCAGCAAAGTATGGTGTTGATCGCAGAACGCTCGCGCGCAGACACCAAGGCGCTACAATCTCACGAGACGCCTAAGCTCAAAACTTACAAGCGCTCCACCCCCAGCAAGAGAAGGAGCTCGTACGCTATATAGAGCGCCTTACAAGGCAAGGCCTGCCTCCCTCACGGCCTATAATACGACGCTTTGCTTCAGATATCACGAAAAAAGAGCTAGGAAAAGGCTAGGTTGATCGCTTTATCCAGCGCCACGACGTCCATCTCATCTCACGCTGGGTGACTAGGATCGATCGCTCACGCCACCAGGCTGACTCTATATCAAAGTATAGCCTCTACTTCGAGCTTCTACGCAGTAAGCTCAGCTAATACGATCTTGAGCCTCACAATATATACAATATAGATGAGAAGGTGTCGGATCGTGAGTATCGGTAGAGACGTCGGCTGCTGGACACTTCGGCCCGACTTCGGCCCACCTTGCGCAGAGCTTAGGTATACCTTCGTAGCAGCTATGTTCGTAGACAATCAATCACCATCACCGAACAGAATGCATTCCTAGTTATCGTTATTTCCTTTCAGCACTAGTGCTATAGACCTTCCAACACTGATCAGTGATTGCTTAAGGCGATCACAGACAGCAAGGTAGAAGAGACAGACCGCATCTTCGACGAACTCCCTGACGCACGACGTTATACTCCCGGGAGAAGATTCTGTGCTAAGAACAGAGCGAGGCAGAGATAACACGAAGCACTCTTAACCTCCCTCTACAGCTGCTGGTTTAGCTTAATCCGCGAACACAGAGCGCGTCAGCAACGCAATACAACTCAACCGTACGAGCGTCTCCGGACGATCCGATCACGTACAACAACAAGCGCTGGCACGACCAACCAGCGAGACAACAACACCGACAACGCGTCAACACCCGCTAGCAAGATGGCGGATAACCAAAGCGAAATAAGCTCTGCAGACTCTGCTGAAGCTCAGAATCAACTACAGAATGAGCAATCAGAACACCTCTTAGACTCACCATGGGCCAAATTTACCGCGGAACAACTTATGGAAAACTGTCCATACACAGTTGCACTCAAGGTCATCAATACAGCTCTCTGGGGTGTACCCGCACCGGCGGACGCAAATGAGACACACGCAACAACGTGGGTCGCTAAAGCTATCCACGACTACAATGTGTCAATGGCCTGGGACGATGACCTCTTCATTGACTACAAATGGGACTTTGAAGGATGGACGAAGGAGCTATTTAGCAAGGTTGAGCGTGGTACACTAAGGTCTCTTAAGAGTGTGCTACGACACCGGGGAGTATACACTGGCAACAATCACGCCAGGGTGGCGGACTCTCTCTACAACATTCTAGGTATAGAGAATACTCTTGAATGGGAACCAGCAGAGTTTCGAGCCATGAAATTCGACCAACAGTCCGAAGCGTACCAGCGCCAGCAGAGCAATAAACGCCAACAGGACACTCAGCACACAGTCTATCCAGCTGTACAACAACCACCGCAAGTACAACAACCGCCGCAATTACAACAACCGCCGCAATTACAACAGCCACCGCAAGTACCACAGCCGTCGCAATTACAACGACCGTCGCAGGGCGAGCAACAAGAGCAGTATAGAGTGAGACAAGGCGTCCAGAGCCGTTCCCAAACAATAGAGCCACAACAGCCGCTACACATGAGCGGTACGCTGGAAGGGCCTCAGCATCGACAACTGTGGGAGCAGGCCGCGCAGCCGCAACAAGGGCGTGCGCAACTACAGACACGGCCGCCAGCGACTGCATATCGCGAAGTCACGCCATTTCCGCAACAGCCAACGAACCGCGTCCCTAACAGACCACCCGAACTACCATACGACCCGTACAAGACGCTACCGCCGCGATGGTCCCGCAACGATCGACTCGACGCTAATACGATCACGCAGTTCTCTAAGCTATGGGACAATAGCAACAAGTATACAGGGAATGCGTACGATCTCCTAGACGATAAGATCAAGATCTTCTTCAGCATCTGCTGGCAGGTAGATATCCAAGAAGAGCAGTTTCACGCAGTGTTTCCCCGTATCCTTACCGGACGTGCAGAGACATTCTACATACAGGTTGTAGAGAGAGATGACAGCTTTGCTGATGCGTACATGGCAATCAAAAACCACTTCGACCATGACGTCCATCACCAGCACTACTACACAGACTGGACGACTACAACCTTCGCTCGCACCCGCACAGAGAACCCCGACAAGGGACTACACGAGGTTCTGCAGATCCTGCTTGACAAGCTGCAGCTATGCCAGCGTGCCCTTGGCAAGAACTTTGAGGGCGAGGATGCCCTACGTACCACTGTCATCAATGCCTGCCGAGGAGTACCAGAGCTTGAGATGGC